TGTCTAAATTGCATAAATATGTTGGCAACATTTTAAACCAAAATGTCACCAACATATTTGGGCAATTCAAGAAGTGTGCAGGTATTTGCCTGCAGTTTTTGGTAAATAAAAACAAGAAATTACCCAATATTGGATATTAACAAATATCTGCATGTTAGCATACTGATTATAGTCTAGCCACCCTGTGAATGAAGCCCACAGAGCAGCTAGCATATTTACGTTTGAGTTTGAAATTTCTTATTTTTGATACAAGAGAAATATCAATCTTTTTAATCTCCAATAAAAGAATGAAAGTAAGACCATATCCTCACTATTCCTCCAAGTTTAAGTTTGTTGCCTTGAAAAGTTAGTGTCCAAAATCAGTCAAGAGGAACGCCGTCAAGGTCAGTCACGTATTTGTTGCTCCCAAGTGTCCCGTTAATTACATCGCTTTACTAAATGTCCTCATCTGATGGGAATCACTTCAGGTGATGTTCAGGTTGTAAATTAGCTTGTGGCCGCAAAGTAAAAAAAAAAAAAAATTCCTTGGGTAGCTACAATTTTTTAAGGACGGGGGTCAGAGGGGTTAACCAGGGGAGGAGGCTTAAGTAATGCCACAAGAGACAAAGGAATGGGTGAAAATAATGAAAAGAAGATGAAGAGAGAAGCCATTGTGCCTCTGAGCAAACCTCCTCAGACTTTAATTACCTCTCATCCATTTTCACGGAGTATTCTCATGATAACGTCGGGGGAGGGGCTCATGCTGTGAAGGAGAAACAGAGGACTACTGAAGCCATACACAACAAAATATCTTAAGAACCATGGAGAGATACAAATGAATATTTAAACAAATGGAAACACACATTTACAAACAAATTAAACACCTTCTTAGCCCAACATGGCTCTGTAAATTCCTGCAGGTTTAATAAAGCTCTAATAAAAGAGGGGTCGGGTTTAGTAATATGCTACTTTAATTTTTAAATATCTACTGATTGTTGGTAGTTGTTGTAATATTGCCATAATGGTTTTTATTACTTAAACAAATATTAATCGTAATTAAATTAACTTATTTTGTGTATATTTGGACTTTCTCTTTTTCCTATTAGAATCTTTTTTTGTTCCATTTTGGATTTTGCTGCTTTGGTAGCGACTGATGGGGATCCAATGGGGATACTGTTCTGTTTAACACTAATAATCCAGACTTAACCTTCACAATAAGACGTCAAAAATAATTCAAAGGACTCCTTCACACAGGTAGAGTCCAAAGAAAGTACCGGAGCACATTAATCACTTGCGGCGAATTTACTAAGGTGCAGTGCCTCAACAATGAGACTTATTCCACAAGGCAAAGTTGGCATTATGAGAAATATGGTCCAGTAGAAACAGAAGATGATTTTATCTCTAATTAAAAACTTTTCCATAAGATCTTTGCTTTAAATTTCAGCTGAGTTCATCAGACAGCGACACACTGGGCCCCGACACAGTCCCCTTGCCTGAGGCCGATCCGATCCTCAGCTGCCTGCGTGAATGCTGATGTAACTCAAAGGTCAGAGTGAGCACAGCCCAGTAGACAGCTCTCTCATTTTAAAAACATTCTGACTTGATCACAGTGTGTGTGTGTGTGTGTGTGTGTTTGTAATGGTTTAAACCAGCTCCACCCTGCAGTATGAATATTTTTTTTTTGTGGGTGGGTGAAAGCTCAGGAGCTCACAAGGTTTCTTCAGCGCCTCAGGCCAGCTGATGAAATCCTCAGAAATCCTGGGGGAAATGGTCTGTTAAGGATCTTTGTGATCTTATTTTCATGCAGTATAATTAGAGAAATATTTGTAATATTTTCACTTTTCAAGCACATTACTATAGATTCAGCATCTTAATAAGCACATAAAATACATCAGCAAGCGACATCAGTTGGTATGAAAACACTTGAAGGTCACATATAATGCAAAATACACTTCACCATGTTGTTCTAATACTAAATTGTGTCTCTAGTCTGCCTACAAACTCCCCAATGATGAGAAAGGTCCATCCTCTCTGTTTTTTGCCTGCTCCACTTGTCAGAAAATGTGTGCTCAAACAGGCTGTTTGGAGATTTTCCCTTCATGACATCACAAAGGGCAGTAACCCGTCCCCCAGGGGGGTGACACTCCCACTGCTCTGTGTTTGTTCTTCATGTTTTGGAGAGCTCTGAGATTTATTTAAACTTGTTGAAAAGGAGTTTAATATGACCTTTAAAGATGATGAATCTCTCCTGCAAACAAATCATTTTTGTCTCCAAACATAGTGTGACCAAATCTTAATATTCACTGAAACACTCTTTCTGGTTTTCATACAACTGTGGGGACTTCAAAACAACATCCCTACTTTTCAAATCTTTTTGGAGTCTTTCACGAACATCCTTTTTTAGTTTTAATCCAGATATTGGAGATATTGCTGACACTTTCTGGTGTATCTAAAATTATGCAGCTTGAGAATTAAACTGTATTGGTTTTTATATGATTTCTGTTGACACACTCTTTCTGGTTTTTATATCAATGTCGGGACTTTCAACATAAATCCTGTATTGTTGAGACACCCATTGACTGACATAATCTGGTTTTGATATGTTTGTGGGGACTTCGACTTATGCGTTCTGTTTTTTAAATCATGGAGGAGACTAAGACAAATGCTTTATAGTTTCACCACCAGGACCTTTACTGACCCTGCTTCTGGGTTTAACAGGGCTGTGGGGACATAACCTTACACACCCGGGTTTTCATATCCTTATATGGACTTTTAAGACACTTCCTGGTTTTTATGAAAAACTAGGGACTTACATTTGTTTTTTTATGTCATTCTGTTGACTATGATGAACATATTCTGTTTTTTATGACTGTGGGGCCTTATAATGACACTTCCTAGTTTATAGGAATGCATCCAAAAACTGTCTAGTTGACTTGAATTGTTCGAACCTGGTTCAAAATCATTGTTGGGACTTTTTATGACACTTGATAGTTTATATATGAATGTTGGGATTGTTCTCCATCTTAATTTATCTGGTTTAAATATTATTGGGGGCAGTTGACAGAAGCTTTCTTGTTTGTTTCATTGTGGGTACTTGGAAAGGCTTGCCTGGTTTGAGTATCCTAATGGAGACATTTCCTGACACAAATAAATAATAATTTTATGGGCTTTTACTGACACACAACATCCTATTTTAATAATGATGTGGGGACTTAGACACACTTGTTTTTTTTTTATCTTTGGGGAACCTTTAATGACAATATCTGATGTAAGTGATATACTGTCTCACATCGGAAAATGTTTGCCTGAATGTGTGTGTTTGTGTGTGTAAGGCGCTCGCATGACTGAAACAGGGATAATGCCTGCGTTGCCTGGCAACGGTGACATGTAGGTACATTGTTTTTATCACACTCGACCACACATGCAGACTGCCCACACAAAAATACTAGACTACAGTCTCTTCAGCCAAGCTCTGCATAAGCTAACAGGACCCAAAGGATTCACAGTGTTGAAGGGCTGAACCATCAGCGGTATGTTCTTGGAAGGGGGAGGGGATGTCGGGGGTGGCAGGGGATAAGACCTACTTCCTGGCGGACAGGAAATTCAACTTCCTGTCGTGATTAATGGGGGGACTGTTGGATCACACGGAGGCGCTGAGGGGGCCTCTGCGCACACAGAACTCCCACATTTCACCTCGGATGTCAACCCTTGTTTTTCTCTCTTGCGAAACACCAGCTTGTGGAATAAAGTAGATACGATTTTTAACAGCTCATTTAAATGTACCAGCACATTTTGTGACGGCTAAAAAAAAAGTTTCTCCTGGTATATGGCTGTATTTTATTTGTGCATGCATAAGGGTCAGGATCCTGTAAAACTGGTGTTCTCAACCTCAGGAGTCACGTCAGGGCGAAGAATGTAAACAGAGCTGGACTCCTTGGAGCTGCAGGAATGCAGCGAGTGGCAGTGTGCTCTGCAGTCACTCACTAATGGGATGTTAGACGTGTTACAAACCAGAGATCGCAAACTGAACCGGCCAGTCGCTTCACAATGCATTTCACTTTTGAAAAGTGAGAGAGGGGGGCGTAGGAAGTGAAAGGGTTGGAAGGCCATGGAGGGAGGGAGGGAGGTGTAGAATAGAGAAAAGGTGCTTTTTAAGATTTCATGTTCTCCTCCAGCCCCCACAGTTTGCAGATAAAGGTTGCCGTTGCCAAGGTGACTTGACAGAGAAAGGGAAAGTATCTGGCTGTGTTTTTTTGCACTGTTCATGTGCAGCAAGCTTAAAGAGCCAGAGGCACAGATAAGATGATTTCAGTCCCTCCTCCACAGAACAAAAGCTGTACGCATGATATACTGCCTTAAATACCTCAGGACTCTTCAGGCTGCTGAATTCACTCTGAAGCGGCCGAAATATTCGGAAAATGCAATAATGAGAAAGCAGTGCTGAGGCTTAATCGCTATTAAATCCATACATATAACCAGACAAAAGACGGAGACGCGGTGTTACAGTCAAGAGGAAAAAACTCTTATGTTTATTAGCCATGAATTTCACATTGTGAAAAAAATCACATGTACAAAATAATGCCATAAAAATAGAAATTAAACTCTTACATGACAAAAGAAATGAAACTGACGCACGCTGACAGTGTCTTTTTTTTCTGTCTAATTTACATCATTACATGAGGCATTGCGCTCCAATGTGAGCCAGCTGGATTTCCAGATAAAACACAGGATAATAAGAGGAGGGCTAGAGCAGATATAGGGAAATGCCACTCAGCAATTAGGTGCAAATTGAAGGGGGGCATTCATTACTCGCTGTTGCTGGGGAAACTAGGGCTCTATGGGAAGGAGACGCTCTTATCTGATTGGTCGGGGCCAGAGGCTCTGTGTTCAGTGGTCGGAGGAGGTCAACATTACGGAGCCTCAAGGGTCCCTATAGAAGCCGTGGAAAAGGCCAATAAAAGGAAGAGCTCTTGGGTGGTGGCTTAAGGAGCTGAGCAGGAATTCACTGAGCTTCTTTTTTTTATTATGCCCACAGATTTGATTGGTTTCATGACTCCACGAGGAAAGACATTTTGAAAAAAGATATACATATAATCCACCAAAAACATTACCTCTTACATTGAAATTCAATGATTCCATTAATATTCAAATGCAAAGCGTCAATGTTCAGGTCACGTAGACGGACAAACAGACAAAACACTGATTAGAGTGAACAAATATGCAAGTTTGTTTTAAGACATTCTCTCTTTTTGGTCTTTAGGAACTTGCCATTTTTTTTCCTTTTTTTTTTTTTACTTCTACGTATGTGCATTATTGACACAATGGTGAAAAGCACTGCGGTGTCTGCCCTTATCAATGCGCAGCTTACTGGATTCAACTCTTTCTCGTTCTAATGGTGAGGAAGACTGTGGGTTAATGCTCTCTCAAGAAGCCAAGGTTAGCACGTTGAGACTGTCCCTCCAGCTGTCCCGACGACAGCTGCAGAGACTTGTCGCATTCTTCACCGCGTCAGGGTCGCTCTGTAACCTCTCTGATAAATACTGGATCACACGCTGCATCATTCCAGCAGCCGTGTCTGTTTATGGTTCATATCTTCATGCTTTGTTGAGGCCCATACAGGACGTCTGGGAACGACCAAAGCAGTCAATTTGACTCTTCTTGTGTTTATGTTTCATTTTAAGTTACAAAAAACAACATTTAGAGAACTTCTCCTTCAAATAGCCTTTACTGTCTTAATCGAAGTTTTTCCATAATCTTTTTCATGTTTCCTTCATGCTCCTGCTATTGAAGATAGGCGGAACTATTCCGTTAACTAGCAACAAGCTGTTGTTTCCAGTTGTTGTTGTTTTTAACAATACTGCAAGGCTAACTCTCGCCAGGGTTAAAACTGAGCAGGAAGATGCTAAAATTGCAGCCTTGTTCAAGTTAGCCTTCTTAGAGATGAATACTTCCATTCTTCTTTTACTGCGTTTTTAAAAAGGTTTTTTTTTTTACCAGTTGGTTCTTTTAAAATGTTGCAAGGCTACCTATAGATTATTCCTAGATTTTCAAATGTTTCTATCTGCTCTGAAACATTTTTTTGCAATTTATTAACTCTAGCTGTTTGCATTAAGTTTAAACATGAGCAGGAAGTGTTGTGCTCTAAATGCTGCCTTGCTACAAATTAGCCTGCTTAAAGGAAAACACTTGCCTGATTTTCATTTGAACCTGTAATTGTTTCTTATAACATGTATATTCATATAGCTTTCTAAGTCAGCTTGTTTCTTGAAGTTTCTTGATATACATTTTGCTTTGTAATGTTTTTATTACCCTTTCAGAGGCTATGGCATTACCTATCCTAGCATTAAAGATTTAATTTCGATTATTGCAATTCTTGTGCAATTATTCAATTAAAAAAAAAGTCAAAATGACTAATTTGGGCGTTCCAGTAGTTTTATATTTCTGGTTGTTTAAGTGTTGGACTTCTAATTTGTGGACTAAACTTCTTCACACCATCAGTAACCCGAGCCAGTCTTCCTCTTCCATCCACACTCACACATGAATGAAAATCCTTTGAGAGGATTTATTTTTAAAAAAGAACAAGCTCCTCTTAGGAAAGACTGAACTGTGCAAAATGCAGCCCAACTGAGATTTAAAAAAACAACAAAAAAACACACAACACCTGGCCATGCATGACATAACCCAGACATACATTCACGTAAGAATGCAGGCAGAGAAGAAATAAATAGGATTAAACATATTAACATAACAAGAGTTATTATTGTCATATAAATTAACTACATTGCAGCAAAAGAAACTGATTCATTCTCAGTTCGGGGGGTTAAGGTGACAGTATTTCAGCGAGCACAGAGAAGAGTTCATGCCAGTTTCACTGAATCACTATGAGTGGACATGCTCTAAAAACCATTCAGCTGTGACTCAGCAAGCGAGACGCAGCTTTTCTCGGAATAACAGAAGCACAGCCGGTCTATTACAGCAAATAAGCATACAGCTGAATGCGACAGCGTTGAATCTGGACACTTAATACCGCCCCTGTGTGTGCAAAGTGGGGTTAGTTAACCGGCGCTGAGCGGGCGTTAATGCGTAGCTGCAAAACAGCAAACATGTAAGGTCGTAAACCCCCGAGGCACCTCCACCCCTGCCGTCCTCCTCAACCTCAGCTGGTGTTGGTCATCAACACCTCGTGGTTTGCAGCGACAGCAAACTGCCAGAGCCTTCATGAGAGGAACACTCAAAAGGTTTGTTTTTTTATGTCAAAGCAGTTAGAAACATGAAGGAAAATAAGATACAAAAGGGTCAAATAAAAGAGCTTATTAGAGGAGGAAAGAAGGGGGGAGATTAGCTCCTTCATTGTGCCTTTTCATAAATCAGCTACACTCAGTCAAACGAAGTCGCTTTCTCTTCTGAAGCACACCAATCATTGCCTTCTCCTCCCATCGATCTAAAGAGAACATCCATCATGCTTTACATTGCAGTCTCCATGAAAAAGAGCATTTTTTCTTCTTATTTAGAAAAAAAAAAAAACATTATCCTCACAAGCCTGTGATGACTAAATGGGGGGAATGTGATGTGTTTGCAGTCCTCATATGGCAGCATGAAAAGCCTGATGTGCCACACAGTCGCAGTCTCTGTGCCTCAAATAAACAAGCAGCAGTTTGTTTGGTTTGTTTGTTTGTTTAAGTGAGCGGCTGTACTGTACGTCCTCCTTCTCGGTGGGGGGGGGGGGGATCAGACGTGACATCATTCCAGTAAAGTGTCCGGCTGTTATGCGCGTCTCCGTCTGCATCTTTTTTTTGCAGCGTTGAGATGAATGCGGGTGTCTGTACATCACTGCTCGGTGTGTGTCTCTTTTCCGGAGAGAAGGATGACGTGTGCTTTCTTCACAGTCGGAGTCCAGTAGATGATGCAAAACAGGGAAATCTGAGGAGGAGAAAAGGAATCATTTGTAAAAAATTATAAGCAGATGAGATGCATAAAGACAGAAACAACGTTTAATGGTTTAAAGGTGACTATTCAAAGTACAAAAAGACGACTTAAGACAATCTGTCTGGGAAAACAAAGAGCATGCATTATGCTCATTGATCACCAAAGCAACTTCAAGAAAAAAACATTTTCCAGGGTGCAGATGGCCTAGCGGTTAGTTCGCACCCCATGTAGGAAGTTGTAGTCCTCCGAGTTGTCGGCCCGGGTTCAAATCTGACCTGTGCATCCTCCCATGTCATTCTCAACACTCACTACTCCACCCACTTTCTATCCAAATTCATTTAGCATATTTTCCCCTATTTTAAAATGTTGGGTTTGTACAGAGATGGAGATTTGGATAGGATCTTTTTCATTGTTAAAGTACTAATGTTCTATCCACTCTCTATAGATTTGAACCCACCTACTGTTTCCTCAGTCTGGCCCTGAAGCTTTTTATCTCCACCTCAGCCTACGCATGACTCTGTAACACGAGAATTTCAATCTGACCTTTGTGATTTTATTTTATTTTTTAAAGCTTTTACTTACACGCACTTATCCGTGCGGCTCACACACTCGGCAGGTCTTATGTGTGGCTACTGTGAATGTAATATAATCAGCTATCTCTGCACAGCAGGTCTTTCCACTGCTGTTTGAGTGAACCCTGAAGAGTGCTTTATACTCAGTGGCAATCTGGTTATGAGTGAAAGCTTTTGTTGCTGATGAAGCCAAAAAGAAGAGCGGGCTAACTTTTCTCTTGAAATGCCACTGGTGCATCAAAAGTAAACACTAGCTCTCACTTGCACTTTTCAAAAATGGCAGAAGATTATTGTAGTGACACTTAAGATATACTGGGACAAGATTTATTCGGGAGGGTTAAACCTTTTTTACTAGCTTACTTTACTAGATTGCATTTTAATAGTTTTGCTTTATTCTATTACTTAGGGTTCTCCTATCCACACACACTCTCCACACTGTCTTACACACAGCAGCTTGTCCCGTCCCACCGTACTGTATTACTCGCGTTTTGAAAAGTGATCCAAGTAAGAGGAGGCTTATTGATCAAAACCCATTTCACAAAAATATAGAAATGAAGGCATTAGAAGCTTCAGGTTTTGACATGAGTGTTGCACCTCAATCTGTTCCATTACTGGATGATAGCTCGGACGGACGGCGGACCGCTCTCTCTCTCTCTTTCCCTCATACACGCAGCAATTCAGAAATATACTTGGGCGGCCATAAATATACCTGGACGGATCGTCCGAGTATTGTCTCTGCGAGGGTAACACTGTAACCCGGGCGCAGTTTCAGCAGATGGCTGTTCGTCATGAGTCGGGTTTTGCCTCGTAAAGTTTTTTACATGCCACTGTCATTTTGCTAAATGTTGATTAACGTCGGGTCTTTTTTCTAAAGTGTCTCGAGATAACATTTGTAACAAGTGTAACAATGTCTTTCAATTTTCCAGGGGGGGGAAGATCCCAGATTTTTTTTTTTTTTTGGACAGGAGTAGAAATTTCCAGGAGTTTAGGCTCGGCTTGTTTGTTTTCTGGCTTCATATTCAGCAAAAGTTTTTACCCTAAATGACACCATATTTCTTCAACACTGTGTAAATGTCACAGCCTACTCCTGGCTCATTCTTTTAGATTGTGATTGATTTGAACTCTCATGGTAAAACGAAACCAGATGATGCTAAACAGGACCAAATCACATACAGAGACGTTCTCATTCTTTCGTGATAGACCCATTTAAGTTGCTCCCTTAGCCTTAAAGTTAGCATTCCTTGGCCTGAAAGCTACATTTTTGTTCAAATACTTACTCCTTTCAGGCTAAGCAAAGTGAGTAAGAAACGATTACGTGGGTGTTCATATGATCCACGTTACTCATAATAGTTTCTCTGTGTGTAAATACCTTTCTAAATCAAAACATCACCAACAGTCATGCTGAAAATACTGTGACACTTTAAACAAGGAAGCAAGTCATGAATTTTGTTATTTGATTTTTTTTTTACTGAAAGCTTTCTAAGGAAAAGGAGGAATCTCAGACAAAGTTGTTCCCCCGAGAAAAACTAAGAACTTCTCTTTTTTGCCTCGCAGCTACAATCTCCGTCTGTGAGGTCTAGCGTACTTCCTTTCCCCTTTCATCCCCTAAACACTCAGCCTTCTTTTCCATTCCAACAAATTCTTCTTTTCACGGAGAAGACTGTCAGTTGCAATGACAGGCAGGCGCTCCAAAAATCACATTCTGTATTAAATCAGTTGCAGGATTAAACCCTTCACTGAGCAACTGTGTTTCAACTGGCTTAGAGTTAGTTAAAACCTTCAGTCTTAGTCTCTTTCTTTCAGAGATGAGTCACTGAAAAGAAAAGGGAATAATGAGTGGTAAAAAAAAATATTTCATCCCGTGGAGAGGATGAGCATCACAGTCTTGCAGCAGTTGAGTTTCCTCCGAGCTGCTTCCTAGCATAATCGAATGAGAGGCTGTGCCGTGCTGGACAGCTGGGGAGTCACTCTAATTCCCTCCTTTTTCTTTCTCAGGAGCTGAGGGGCCTTCAGCCACTTCAACAAAAACAGATAAATGAAAAGGACAGCCTTCATGGATAAGTGAAGGGGGGGGCATCAGTGTGGGCTGCAGAGACTTGCACGATGTGATGTGATCGAGAGCCTGCAGCATGAGGAAAGCTCAGGTTTTGCCAGCTGACTACCCATGCTCCACATACGTCCGGGTTGTTTATCGTCAGAGCAGGAGAGCAGGGGGTTTGAACGAGGCCAAGACGACGTGCAATGGACTTGAGTTAAACAGTACCACTGCTCTGTGGGGATGATGTGTGTCTGACCGAGCAGAGGAGGAAAGCGCTTACGCTCTCTAGCCCTACAACTCGCCCTCCTCGCTTTTCTCCTGCTGCCACCTCTCTCAGACACCTCTGCTTGTAACTGATGATGAATGGTTTCCCGACGCCGCGTGAGTCGCTGGCTGCCTTCCTCTCGCCCAGCGTAAAGACCATAACCTCATCAAAGCGAGGCGACTGGGAGTGGATTAGCCTCGCCATGGTGTTGTAGCCTGCTGGTGTGTGGCTTGTCTAATTGGCAGACCCCCTTTTTTTTTTTTTTACCCGCTTAGAGGGATTTCCCCCACAGGAGCAATAAAAGTATCCTATTCTCTTTCAATTACCCTCTGTGTCCTTCAGCCCATCCCCACAGCTACATAACTCACTTAACTAACGCACACAAGCCTCTATCAATCCCCCCACCGGTCAACCCTCCCTGCTCGAGTGACTTCCTCTTCTTTTTCTTCTTCTTATAGAGGACAATGCTTCTCCTGTCTTTTTTTCTATTATATTTAAAATCCAAAAGCCTTAGAGAAGCATCAAATGCATATAAGTAGCAGATCAATAGGCCTCATTGATTTGTCGGCTTGTCTGTGACACGTTAATGTTAAATTGGCTAATTCCATATGTATCTTTGCCAGATCTTAAGTATCCCTGCCAAAAAGATTTTGTTTCTTTGAGGGGTTTTTTTGTAAAAAATCTGTCATATAAGCCAAGAAATCTCACTTTGAAGTCCACACAGATTGGTCTATCCACTAAATACATGAGAAATGCATAGAAATACAACAGAATATCAATGTTTTACAGATGGCTGAAGGAAAAAGGAGAAGGTGCAGATGTCTAACACTTCAAAGAGAGAATGCCATTAGTACACAATTTTCCCTTCTACAACATTGTCGGTGAGGCTAAATCACTGTCATATGTGCAAGTTTTGAAGAATCAATATCAATCCACCAGAGACCGATTTTTATATGAGGAAAAACAAAGGTCAAACTCACCTCATGAAAAAGGTTGTACAGAGGTTTTTTTGGGGCTCAAGCAGGCAGATGTTTCCAAGTGCTGACAAAAGCGGTGGGAATGAGCGAGTAGGGCACAGTAGTGATGCTGTTCCAAGCATCCAGCGTTGGGTCGTAGCAGTCCAGAGTTTTACACCGCTGCGTGCCGAAGTATCCGCCCACCACATACAGTTTGTTCCCGGACGCGACGGCCTGGCAGCTCATACGCTTGGCCGTCACATCGCCAACTTTAGTCCACTGGTAGGTATCGCTGCTGAACTTATAGGCCGAGCACGCAGAGAATTCGGTATCCCCGCCCATGACGAAGATCTGGTTTCCGAGCACGGCGGCGGCTGTGTAGCGCCAAGGCTGAGGGCAGGAAGCGGGGACGGTCCATCGATTCTCCTGGGGATCGTAGCACTGCACCTTGGGCAGCTTGTCGTGGGTGACGCTGGTTCCGCCGAAGGCAAAGAGCTTGAGCTTGACGCTGACCACTGCCGCGTTGCTCACGCCCTCTCTCAAAGGCGCCACCATTGTCCACTTGTTTGCAACCGGGTCGAACTGCTCGACCTGTTTGAGGGACACGGACGGAGATGCCGGGAGGCAGCCGGTCGCAGCAGTATGACCTCCCACCACGTAGAGGCAGTGTTTCAGCTCTGCAGAACCATGGCCAAACCTCGCAATAAGCATGGGGGCTGCCTTGGACCATTCCTCTTGAACCGTGTCGTAGACCCACACATCTTTGGACACACCATTTTCCGAGCCTCTCCCGCCAGTTATGTACACCTTGCAGCCGATGGCGCATGCGCTGAACTCTTTTCTTGGGCTGGGAATGTCGGCCTTTGGGATTATCTCTTTGGCTTTCTGGTCCACAAGGTACAGCTTGTCGCACATAAAGGTCTGCCCCCCCAGAAGAAAAAGGGCATGGCTTGTCTTTCTCGGCCTGGCACACGGGCTATTAACAACGCCATCGTTCTGCAGGATCTTCAGCTTACACCGGATGGCTTCATCCACTAGCTCCTTGCTCTTTGCCTGAGAGTTGATCAGCTCTTCTGTGGAGACGTTCTCCATGAGAAAGATGGCTGGCAGGAGTGCCAGGCGAACTGTTCTCAGGAGTTCTGGGAGGTGGCAGTGCCTCTTTTCCAGGTCGTAGTTGATCCAGTTGAGGGCCGCTTCATAAACGAGTCTCTCGTCTTCTGTCTCAAGCTCCTCATGCGACAAAAGCTGCACCACCATGTCTTTGGGCAGTTGGAGAAAGTCCTCTGTCTTGCAAATAGCGGGAAAGTTGCTGAGGCACATGCCCCAGGAGAGCTCCGACAGCTTGGTGCACTGGTGGGCATCGGACAGCAACAGCATGCCGAGGCAGTTTGACGGATGAAGGTTCCTCTCTAGGAACTCGGCACAGGCATCCCGGATGTCTTGGAACTCTAGCATGTCCCCGGCCTCCAGTAGCGACTCTGCGTTCTCTTCATTGATGACCACACGTGACGAGTAGGCGTAATCCAGCAGGAGCTCTAGAACCTCCGGGTGGATGGAGTCTCGGAAGTCGACCTCGCTCGCCTGGCTCTCCCTCAGCCCTCCGCTGAACATGGCCTCGAAGTACCGGCTGCAGGCGGCCAGCACGGCGCGATGGCAGGGGAAGGAGCGACTGCCGGCGTGAAGCAGGACATCTGTGAAGAGTCTTTGCTGCCGCAGCGAGTTCAGGTGCATGAGGACACTGTCCGCGTAGGACGACTTGTGGAACAGGTAGATGTTCATCGAGCCGGTGCTGGCTCGGGATTTCCTGTTCTCATGGACACACACGGACATTTTCATTGAATCCTGAAAAAAAAGAAAAGACAAGAAAAATCTCTCATCAATGCATTTTACACAGAAAGCCCATCATACAAGGTTCAACTGTGTTTTGTTTATGGTTGGTGTGAGTCACAGTGTGGGTTGTACATGACAGATATATATATATATATATATATATATATATACACTCTGGGATTCTTCATGCATTTCTCTCCATAAAAACTGCTCAGAGTCATCTATAAATATTTCTGCTGGATATTGCTTCCATTATGAAAAGAACTGACTGTGGAAAGATTGTTAGATTCCTCGAAAATCTGCAGACCATCTAAATTGCACTAATAAGTTGGCAATGTTTCAGATATTTGTGTAATTCAGGGGAGGGGAGTCTGCCTGCAATTTTTTATTATCTAAAATTTGGTGCCTAGAACTTCTTTACTTCTTTACCCTTTTGTTGCCATGGTATTGAAACAGGTTTGATTTTTACAAGTATCATTTCATAGCTGAAATTCTGGTATCTTGACTCTGGTATCTCTTGTCACTAGAAGAGGCACTTTCACTTTGGCCTCAAGCAAACCGCCCCAGTGCCGCAAAAGATCCACTAAAGAATTTCAATCAGTTTTGAAATTCAATAAGAGTGCCTTTTGCTTTGCCAGGAAGACACCCGAGGGGAAGGTTCTCTGTTTAAAGAGTGACTCATTGCAATTAGGTCTGCTAGTTGAGAAAGATTTTAAAATTCTCTTGGTGGCAGTTGAGAGTTTAGCAACAGAATAATGAGTTTCCCGTAAAGACGGGGGCAAACTTTCAGTAAATTGTGGGTTTGTTTGATGTGAGGACACAGCATAAGAGAAGAACTTATATCATCGGGGTTTCAAATAATTGTTATGCTTTTCATTTAGACTCGACCTAAATTCTCGAAAGATTTCCAGTCCCTTTGCTTCCTCTTCTGTCATTGAACTGTCAATTTTTATGGTACTCTGTCTCAAATTTATGGCCCGACTATTTCCCCTGAGATTTAAAATGAAAACGCATTGGACACAAGCTGTATGTTAAGCACTGTGAATTTAGGCTTATTTAGGTTTTTTTCCCCAGAGAGACTGCTATTTGTCTTTGAGATAAGTCGTGAAAAAGCAGACTGCTCAAGTATTATAGGAGGCCTCGTTTTCCTTATTGAATTGTACCCTCAGCTGAACTATTGTGCATGCTCACACTGTGATGTCGCTGCTGAAACATTACATCTGCAGCTCCACCATAATGTGATGAATGATGTGCATTTTTTCAGAGGAGTATTGTAATCCTTCCCCCGGAGATAGAGAGACATTTAGCAAGAGATCCAGTGATTACAAGTTGCAAAACAGCATACTTCTGGGAGTTAGGAAGGTCAAGTAGATAACACTTGTCTTCCTCGCAGATACTGGGAGGCTTTTTCCATTTCAATCCCAAGCACTGCTAATCCCCTTCTTTTTGAGATACCACAATTTACATGCAAGAGTCCCTTTTTGCAGAGCTCTTTAAGAGGAGAGGAAAGAAAGAGACAGCAGGAGTCTTTTAAGCCTCTGAGAAATGCACAGAATTTACTCCACTCCCCCTCTCTGGAAAGTCGCAAGCTCTCCCATCTTCTCTGTCCTTGCCTTGTCCTCGCTCGGAGCTCGCTTTCATTCCATCCAATTTCCAGACATGTCAAGTGCATCATGCACTCGATTTCCAGAAGCACCAAGTCCCCATCTGACCTTGTACATCTGTCAGATACTCTGACTAGACCAGAATTAAAGACTTTTTAAGTTCTCTTCCAGGTCTCTCAAAACGTATAACAAGGTGTAATCAAAGACGGATACATTTTAAGACTGTTCACAATCTGTCCATAAATCTGCAGGTTAAACTTTAATCCAATTCTGACAAGTTTTCAGTGCAAAAAAAAAGATTTAGAAACATCCATTTAACTGCTTTAAACACTCATCAATCTTTGCCAAATATTCTGCTTATCTGCATGCCAAAATACAATTAAATATTGGCTTTTTGCAGAGACTCAAGAGTAGTAACATGGCAGAGACACTGCATCTTTTTTTCAATTCTGAGGCAATATGTGTTTTGATTCGATTTTGCTGCATGCTGGGAACACTGGTTGCAAACCAACACAACAGAAAAGAGTCAAGCTAACCAGAGCTGCCACTGAGAACATGTTTTACAAACCTCCAGGTGGTGAAATTGATTTTTTTGTAAATCCTTCACTCTTAAGACAAATATAGTTCAAACGCTCCTGTGGGTCATGAATGATTCCTCTGCCACACCGATGTCGATGCAACCGAGGGGTGAGGACAGTTTTAATTTTCTCTAAGTTGCATCATGTGAATCCAAAAATCCTCTCCATGCCGTCTCCTGAATAGACAAGTAGGTGTGAACCCTGCATGTACAAAATGAAAGGCCGAAGAGGCGTTCTTATGCATTCGGGTTTGTTTCTTGTTTTACGTTCTGGGAGCATGATTACATTCTAGGTAACGCCCCAAACCAGCTGCTCTCTATTACACATTTATTTTTCTGACTGCAAGACACCAAAACTTGCCTGTTTTTATTTCAGCTGTCAACGCAGAAAACACCACCTGCAGCATGATTTAGCAGACTGTATTTAAATGACCGAAGATGCATTACACAAAAAAGCTTTAAACGCGGCCTGGAGGTAAAGACCAGAAACGTGGGGAAGGACAATGAGTAAGAAGTACATGTGTTTTCAGACACTTTTTACAACAACTACTTTCATTCTTACTGAAATATCTCAACAAATATTACACCAACACATTCATGGTAGTTTGGTGTTAAACCGTCCAGCATCTTTCTGAAGTAATATTTGTAGTTTTTTGGTGAAATGTCTCATTGACTGATGGTTGGATTGCCTGGAAATTTAGGAAATACATTCATGTTCCTCTGAAGACAAACTGCAACTAGCACCCCCCCCCACCAAACAAAACAATCTATTGACCTGATTCGAGGCTTGTCGATACCTATTATTTGTCAGAATGAACCTCAAGTGTGTGTTGTCAATACAAATTATCTTACAGCGCTCGATCGAGTCGCAGTCTCCCCAATCTAAAATCGGACTGCCTCTAACAGAAAACAATAGCCAATGAGAGCGAGCAGACGGGGGAAGCATCACCAACCGGATATTGTGTTGTTGTTTATTTACAGCTCACAATCAAGAGTGGAAGATGAACACAACTGTACGCTCTATACTGTCTTCTCAGCCAGGATTTCACCCATATTATGTTTCTCATTGTGCTGCATCACAGAGAAAGGACAGCCAGCTGACAACGTTGATCGTCCTCCATATTTGTTTTTCTACTAAAGTCATGTCATGATCGCACAAGTTTCTGTGAGATCTTGTGTCATTGGAATCAGAACTGTGAAATTATTACTACAAACAGCAAGTTACACAACACCAAAATAGCCAAAATATCATGAGAACACAACAGCATAATAAAAAGCCAAGGCCAAAAATAATCCAACTCACACAATCAAAAAACACAACAACACAACAACACAAGGACCCAGCTTCATAAATGGAGACCAAGAGGAGCAAAGATGTGAGAAATGACAAGAGATCAAAACAAATTTCAACTGAAAGATAAATCTGTCAAAATCTGCAAACACAGCTGAGGTCTCTAAGTCACGTCAATGACTCATCACAGAAGAATCTGGTTTAATATTGAAACTCAATCACTTACACAGTAGGTGTGAAAAAAGCTCCAAAGAACCAAAAGAATATGTATATATGTAATATATAATGTTTCACTGGTGTTTCCACCGCAGCTCCAAGGTACACTTTACTCTTTATAAGCTCTTAGTAATAAAAAATATTTATAATAACTCAAAGGAGAGGGAATGTAATTAATCACAACTTGATGAAATATTAAGAAAAACATAAACGCGATGTTGGTTCAACAGGAATTATTGCATTCCAGCTCTGACAAAAACTGGCAAACCCGTCATCTAGTGGCCTCTGGCTGAGCTATAACGAGAATCTCTCACCTGCATGTGTCACCTCCCACACACACACATGCACACACACACACACACACACACACTGATACTGCAGCTTATGTTCTCTAATTGGAACTTGTAAGCGCCTTAATTTGATGAGTGGTCGTTATAACGAGGTACTAAATCAGAGTGGTTTAGCATATGCTAATAATTAGCATGTTATTAGCTTGAGTGGTGCAGGTATGAAGAACAGACGCTGAGAGACAAGTAGACACCCTGATTGGTCCAACAGGATCAATTTTTTTTTTAAACCCATCAAGGACAGTGTTGATTATTCCAAATTTGCTAATTTCCCGCCCATTGCAGAGATCGGTGTTGTTGTTGGAAACCAATACCAGTACCGCTAAATGCCTCTAGCACAGCCTAAAATGATGAATCAGATATGAGCTTGTACAACAATTTCCCAACACAGTGATTCATGAAAACTTTGAATAAAATAGTATTCGTTCTACTTCTCAAAAACAGTAGCCGACACAGCAGTGATATAAACTAAAACTTCTTTGGTGAATAACTAAAGTACACTCTAACACTAGCCAGAGAGCTAGCAGCGTTTCAGCGCCCTCTGTTTTCTACTCACAGAATTTAACGCTCTGTGTTCCTTATTTAAAATATTGATTATTTAAAGATGCAAAAGCACAAAGGAAGACGATTCATGTTAAAAATCATCGTTTGGGAGGCTTTTTTTTTCAGACTCACAATGTGAGGAGAGACTGTTGTTTATGTTAGCTTAGCTTGTTTGTTAAGGAATAATAATGTGGAATCCTTTATAAGCAAAAGTACTAACAATAACATCACATTTATCCAGAGCTGCTTGTAAACCTTTTTTTTTTTGTAAATCACTAAATTGCACAATAGCATTGGCAACGTTGCAGTGCTTCACCTCCTCTGCTCTCTGGCCATTTGTAAGAACGTAACTTCTGCTTCTGTATGTACAGAGGCTGTTCTCCTCCAAGTGCGCGGCCCAGGTTCGAATCCGACCTGTGGCTGTTTTCCCCACATGTCATTACTCTCTCTCTCTCTCTCTCTCTCTCTCTCTCTCTCTCTTCCCACTGTCCTATCTCTAAAAAGCACAAAAAAGACCAAAAAATAAACCTCTGGAAAGAAAGCAGGTGGTATCAAAAAGTATTGATGTATCAACGATTTTCTTTCTAATACACACACACACACACACACACACACACACACACGAGCACACACACACACACACACACACACGAGCACACACAGTAAGAGCTGCACAAAGAGAAAGGCAGAAAACCAGATACTTAAACTATTTGCATACTAAAGGATAAAGCCTGGATTACTAACTCAGCCAGCGGGTCCTGGATCCCCGGTCTTCATACATTTGTTATTTAAATGAGAGTTTATCCTTTGTTAAAAAACGAGCCATCACCCAACATCATCAACATCTGTGCAGCGGACAACACTGACTTCTGCAGAAGTTGTGTTCCAGCTCTCGTTCTTTAAAAGCTCTCATTAAGACAAGCGGCTGTATTTAGCACACACGTCCGTAAACACAGATTAATGGGGAAATCAGATAACTAAATCCTGTTTCAGTGCTCAGATCACATTATTGCTTTGGTCTGCTCGTTCGCTGCAAAACATCCCGAAGAGAAACAAGTCGGCGTGAAATTCCTGACAACTGTCTGGCTGACATTCAACGTCTCACGTTTCAACGACTTCTTCTACTTGAAGAGAAAAAACAGCTCAGAGCTGGAATAATCGATTTGTTGATGTGTAATATGGCTGCATGTTTGGCTTATCACACGTGCGACCGGGGATTGTGAACCTATTGGATTTGGGACCGTCAGAAAGGTCAAAGGTCAAACTCAGAAATTGGGATGTCATTTTTACCTTTCTTGCCAATGAGAAGGGAAGCAAAGATTCCCTTTCAAGAAACGACTTTACAAAGTGGTTCACAAACAAACATGAATGTGCAAAGCAGACGTCATAATTCAGACAAAGCAGACACCGACCGGCTGCTTTAGAAAATGTCCACAGTTTCCACAAAACAACCGAATGTTGTGAAGCATCAAGGTCGACCTCTGAGAAAAGTGAAGATGATTTTAAGAACTTAAAAGGCTTGTCTCTAACTATAAGAGTTGTCTCTGTAAAAATTCTGTTAAAAAGTCGAACTTTATCGATTTGAGTTGCGTTACCACGGCAACATCCTCGGCAGCCAATGTTGGGTAATTTTCTTGTTTCTAATCACCAAGTGTTGCAGGCGTCAATCCCCAGCTCACTGTCTCAGTTGCACAACGCAAGAAACGTTGCCAAAGTGAAATTGAGACAGTGTTTACCTGTGAATCTGAACAGACCACTGCTGCTCTCTCTCTCTTTCTCGCTCGCAGCAGCTACTGATTAAAAATTTGACTTAGAGAGCTGACTTTTTTTTTTTAAGCTTTAGCACTTTTGGATACTTTGGATCACGTGGAACAGAGGTTGCACTGTTGCTTCATCTTGCCACTGCTGCGTTGTTTTTTTAAATCATAATTAGACATGCACCGGTAATCAGACCGATGCTGATACAGATGTTTGTATTTTGACTTCGTTTGGAGTGAGACTCCCACGATGCCGACATTTTTTCTCATGTTTGACGAACAAGTCAGGGTTTGTTCATCTGCCCAATTTAAAACCTCTCCTCTGAATCAGTAGTTAGGTAGATGCCAGCTTTTAATTGATTGGGCAAAACAAATAAACATCGACTACTGACGTGATCATACCAAATTATTTGCAGATGTGCCGACGTCTGTCAACAGGGCCGATATCGGCTGATACTGATGCATCGGCACATCCCTAGTCATAATAATAATAAAAACTTTATTTATAAAGCACCTTAACAAACACAGGTTTACAATGTGCCTCCACAGACTAAGCAAAAGCATCAAAATGACGAAGCAAAACAACCCAAACACAGAAGAATGTAAGCAACTGCAAAATAACCCAAACAACAAAAAAACAACCGGACGACACGTTTAACCATCACAAGACCCGAGAACGTCCTGCACGCTGCCTCTTCAGCAGCTTGTGTTGTGTGTGTGTGTGTGTGTGTGTGTGTGTGTGTGTGTGTGTGTGTGTGTGTGTGTGTGTGTGTGTCTGTCTGTGTGTCTGTGTGTGTGTCTGTGTGTGTGTGTGTGTCTGTCTGTGTGTGTGTGTGTGTGTCTGTCTGTGTGTGTGTGAACAGGGCTTCTGAGTACAGTGATCATTTAGACAACAAGTTGAGTAACATTTACATAACTTGTGTTGGGGAATATAATTGGCAGAAAGTGTGAGTCATTAAGTGATAGCTGTTAAAGCTTTCATGGCAGCATGGTGTTTTTTTTTTTCAGCCTGTTTATTTAAAAATCACTGAAAGCTCTGAATAACAGCGCGCAGACAAACTACTTTTCAAGTCGCTGATTTCAGCATTAATTAAATTCCTCAGTGATCGACAGAAAAAATCTGCAACTTTTTTGACAACTTGCTAAACCTTTGATTCAGTTTGAAACAAAATTGATTTAAAAAAAAATACACATTTTCTGTCTTTAGCTTCAGAAATGTGACATTTTGCAGCTTTTCTTTCTCATGAATCACAGTGAACGGACTACTTTTAGGGTTTGAAGCGGTTTGAGGACATTATTGAGGACTCATTAAACATGCATTTATATTTTTACAGATGCAATATATTAAACAAATTTACAAAAGCCCTGAGCGGACATGCACCCATACATTTTATAAACTCTGTGCTTCTGTTATAACAAGTAAATATCTGGTTGTTTTCTCCAGATCCTAACTCATTTATCTCGTATCTGCAGAGTTGCAAAATAAAAAAAAACCTAGCTTATCTCATCAGTGAGGACAAAATGATCCTGTTATCTGGAGATAATGAGACCAATTACTGCTTTATTTTGGAAAACAAGATTTGTTGTTGTGAGGCAAAAGACGAGGAAGTCGAGGAAATCAAATGTACCAATGCATGTCCGCTCAGGAGCTTCTGTGCAAATTGCAAATATAATATTTAGCAGTTCACTCATACTGACGGAGTTTAAGCCCTAAATCCCCCTACAATTATTTTTTATCTTACATCAGCGCTCATATTTCTGTGACTTGTCATTGAACACTAAACATGTCTTCAGTGTCAGCAGGAGTGTCTGGGTTCGATGTTTTTTAAGAGTTATCATCCTGGTCCCCTCACAGAAAAACAGATCCAGAACCGGAAAGTACATACATGCCACACTCAGAAGAAATCACACACAGAAGAAAGGCATATATACACACACACACACACACACACACACACACACACAGCAGACTGCTCTCCATCTGAGGGCCTGGGCTGGCTCTCAAGTCTGTTTAAAATCATTGCCAGGTGTTCACAGTCAACCGGAGAGACTCATGCAGGAAGAGGGATGGGAGGGAGAGCGAGAGAGAGACTTCAAAAGTAAACACCACCGAGGCTTTTTTTTTTTTCTTTCTACATCTGCTGCTGCTCGGGAGGAAGAGGAGATGAAACAAGATGCAAAAAAGCAGAAGAATCCAGCAGCTATTGATCTGCACGTCTGCGTTCATATAAATCTCTCATTTACGCCTGTCCACACACATCTGAGTGATTCACAGCCACTTATAAAAACACTGTCAATCGATTTATAGCAGCGAGGAGAGCACGTGACACCTGATGTGCCTTTTAAAATATGTAAAACATCTCGAGCATGCATGAGAGTGCAGGAAAAAGACGCACAAAGAACAGGGAAGATCTGGAGCATTATTAGTATAAATACACACAAAAATTGCTTTCTCTATGGGCTAATTATAAACATATAAGATTATATTTAAAAAAATGAATGGATGTCATTATAACACTGCGTCCTTTAGCCTGTTTTCTGTTGCGTTTTCTTGATTTCTCCATCATTAGGTGATCAGAAAAGGGTGCAGCAGTTGCTCAGGTAAAACAGATGAAACTGTAATGTGTACAGGTGGTATTGAGAGTTTAATTTTACCTCTTTAGGTGAAAGCAGGAGTTCAATAGTGCCCGCAGTATCCCTCGAACATGCCACTTCTGGAAGAGCCACGATGCAAGCCTGCGCCCGGGAGCGCGAACAACTCCGCGGATATTTCCAAGAAAGGCAGAGGGCGGTCAGGATGAGGAGACACAACGAGACACAACGAGATGTCTGCAAACTCCGATTCAAACAAAAAACGGACGCGAAATAGCGTAAAAAAAAGGATGAACACACAGAGAGTGAGAGAGAGGTGGAGAGGTGTTTGGAGGCGTCGCTTGTGCGTCGCGGCGGCTCTGCTCCTACAGTGACGGTCCTCCTCCTGCGCTCCCAGTCCTCCTCTCACTGGAAGCGATGGTGTGTTTACAGAGAGAGGGGGAGGACCGTCACCCCGCAGGAAATGAAGAGAGAGAGAGAGAGAGAGAGAGAGAGGAGGTGGTGGTGGTGTAGAAAAGCTGTGGAGTGTCTTCCCACACATCCTCAGAGAATTCAAACTCTTTAGGGTTGAAGTTTATCTAATTAAAGAAGATTGTTTTGTAAGTTTAGTCAAATTCAGCTTTAAAAAAAAAAAAGATCCTTTAAGGTCAGAGTCCAACTTTTATTTTCAATTTTAAAGGAAATGTCAGAATTTTTAATTCATTAGGTTCCCTCGTTTAATTTCTAAAAAGTTAGGAGGCTGTGAAAATTGTAAATAGCCTAAACAGAATTTAAATCAGACAAAGATTGACTGCACACAAATACAAGACATATAAGCTGAAACTAATTTGATACCAGTTAAGCTGGGACAGTGGTCACATAAATGCAAAAAGTACAGAAGCCCTAAAAGGACATCCCATTATCACGGGATACATGCATCATATTTCTGGAGATCCAGCATTGTTATTTGAAATTATGACATAAATAAGTTGAGGAATCAAGCAGAAATAGCTCGTTTTGATGGGAAACCGGAGTAAAGCAAAGTGTATGGATGCATGTCCTCTTTGGCCATTGGACTCAAAGAACAACCTGTCCCAAATTCTTTAAAAAAAAAAAAAAAAATTCTGCCATCAAATCTAAAATGGGAGAATAGTTTTTGTTGTCTTATTCTATTCTTAACTAAACATGAGGTTTCAGTGGTTTGTGTATCATCACATTCTGGTTTTATTTACATTTTGCACGTCTCCATGTTTTTTTAGGAATGGGGTTGTATTTTAAAAACTTACAAACACACTTGAGTATTCACATTTTGAACTACACAAACCTCAGAGTCTCTTTAACCAGTTTCTCTTCAGTGACACAAACTTCTTTTTTACCAGATGATCCTGTCATGAACTTTCACTTTATGTGGGTTTTGGCGCCCCCTGTGGACAAAGTGGTATATTACGTCTCTTTATTGATCTTTTTCTGCACGTGTAAAGTGTATTTATGATGAAAAATCTCTTTGATTGTATCACTCACTGTGAATTTTGTGGGGGGGAAGTATCATTCTGATAATTCAAGGTGGAAAAGTTACATAATGTTGCTTTAAGGGGCCCTTCCTCCATTTGGGCCATGGGTCGTCAGCCCCCTCCCTCCCACTAAGCCGCCCCAGAACAATGGGCAAAATTGTGTGCCTGTGGTACAAGTAAAGCTAACACAGTCTGATTTGAAAGTGTGACTGTAGGATTAGTCTGACTTGTTTTATTTCTAATCCAGTTAAACAATGTCCAGCATGTCTGGTATGGTTTTAATTTAAAAGCTAAATGTGCCACAGAAGCTGATGAGAGGTCACAATGAGCCAATTGTTTCCAGTGTGGATTAAACCCTTTAATAAAATCAAGCTATGTGATTATTCAAGGCACAAAGAAAAGTCAAATAATTCTTTGTTTTGTGCTTCAGGGACTCATTGTAATAAGAAAACAGTACATTATAGTATATACGGTACAGTCTGGGTGAGTCACAGTAAACACAGACATGTTGTAAATCCTATAGCATTACAAAGACATTGTGGTTTTTGGTCGCTGGGAACGGGAAGTCCATTTTTATCCCGGGTCATCTTGTGTGAGTCAGTTTGCTCTCTTTAACTAAACTCCTCAGTCGACCCTCCAGGGCACCATTTTATTATTTTGTTTGTTTTTTATGTGCAGTGTACTTCTGTTGTGGTGATGAGAGCGGTCACACGCTCACATCAGGTTTATTTCCCATCAACTGTTAGTCGGAAGGAGGAAATTACTCTGTTACAATCATTACTGGAGCTCCATATTAAAAACAACACCGCACTGTGACCCTTGGGGGGGGTGGGTTCAGTTAGAGAGAAGAACTCAGTGGTGTCATAGCTAAGATAAGAGAGACCTCTAGTGGACAAAATGTGTATTACAGTAAAGATGAACGCTGAAATGATTGGAAACAAACACTAGAGGCCAAACCCCCCTCAACTTGCATTGTGTGTGATTAGTCAAAAAAGTAACTGCAAAGATCAAATCACATTATGTGTAAATATGACTGTTTGCATACTTTTGTACATGAGCCTTAAGCAGACATGCATAAGTACATTTTAATAATAAAATACCCATCATCATAAAAAAAGTAAATAACCAGTCGTCATGCATGTCTTTTTGTTGTGATAAAAGGACAATTTTCAAAACCTGTAAAAATGTAATTTTAATTAAGAAAACACCCAAAATGCTAATGAATGAGTAAAAGAGAAAAATCCTCCACAGAATCCCAGCCAGCCAGAAACACAAAATTCAGAAAGAAGTGACAGGGTTGTTAGTCAGGAATGTGAGGAGGAGAGGAAGAGGGGGTGAAACTACCTCTCCTCTCCCCAAAAAAGAGCCCTCTCGCTCGGACTTGGATCCCAAAAAAGCCCCCAAAAGAAAAGAGAAATCCCAAAGAGAGAGAGACTGAAAAAGTTAGTTTTCAGTCTTTTCAGGGTGAGAAATAAGATGGAGGGATGGATGGAGGGATGGATGGAGTAATGGATGGATGATGGATGGACGGATGGATGGATGGATGGATGGACAGATGGAGGGATGGATGGATGGAAGGAAGGATGGATGGATGGATGGATGGATGGATGGAGTAATGGATGGATGGATGGACAGATGGATGGATGGAGGGATGGATGGATGGAGTAATAGATGGATGGATGGATGGAGGGATGGACAGATGGAGGGATGGATGGATGGATGGAGGGATGGATGGATGGAGTAATAGATGGATGGAGGGATGGATGGATGGATGGAGTAATGGATGGATGGATGGACAGATGGAGGGATGGATGGATGGAGTAATGGAGGGATGGATGGATGGAGGGAGGGATGGATGGATGGAGTAATAGATGGATGGAGGGATGGATGGATGGATGGAGTAATGGATGGATGGATGGATGGATGGATGGATGGAGGGATGGATGATGGATGGATGGAGTAATGGATGGACAGATGGATGGATGGAAGGATGGATGGATGGATGATGGATGGATGGAGTAATGGATGGATGGAGTAATGGATGGATGGAAGGATGAATGGATGGATGGATGGATGGAGGGATGATGGATGGATGGAGTAATGGATGGATGGATGGAGGGATGGGCAGACAGGCTGATGGATGGATTGATTGATGGATGAAGGGATGGAGTAATGGATGGATGAATAGATGGACGGAAGATAGACGGACGATGGACGGATGGATGGATGGAGTAATGGATGGATGGAGTAATGGATGGATGGATTGATTGATGGATGGAGTAATGGATGTATGGAGTAATGGATGGATGGAGTGATTGATGGATGGATGGATGGATGGACAGATGGAGTGATTGATGGATGAATAGATTGATAGACGGACTGACGGATGGATGGTTTTCCATTGAGAGTATTAAATGGTGATTTTATAATCGTGTTGAACATTTTCTGGTTCCCAAAAGGAAAGTTTGCATGTTTTGAGGAGTCTGGTTCAAAAAGCTACATTTCAGAATTTCACCTCCAGCTGATCATAATTATAACATCTAACTGACTTAGTTAAAATATTTTCTGACACTTTTTATAAATCAATTAAAACAATTTAATATTTTGAAAATAATACAAAAGCGTTAAAAAAAACGTATTTTCCAATGAATAGATGATTTATTTAATGTTGTTGTTCCTCTTTCTGAAGTAGGCTCGTGGGTCTCTGTTCACCTTTGAGGGCCGATAATTGCAGAAGTTTTCTTCCTGTTTGAGACATTCGTAAGTTTGCAGAAACACAGTCATAGTGTGTGTTCTGGGAGAGTGAGTCAGTGCAGAAGTTGCAGCTCAGATATCTCAGCTGATTGATATTATCAGGCACACACACACATGTGTTGGTATTGCAGCGTCTGTTTTCCTATGTGTGCTAACTTTTTCTGTTGAACAAATAACACTGAAAACAAAGCCTGGTAGTAGAAGTCTCAATAGATTACAGTACTCTCAGCACTGTCTGCAGAACAATAAAAAAAATCATCTATAGATTATATCTGTGCATAGTTTTTTCATTTTCCTCATTTTGCAGCAATTCTTCTGACTTTAACTTAAATAGCATTTTCAAGCGACTCAGCTCATTGGTCATGACAGAAGACAAATGACCAGAGTTATGAGGTGTGTTAATCTGGATCATCAGTGGTGAACGTGTGGATGTGTGTGAAAGCATAACGTGGTGTGAGGTGTTGAAGAGTGCACTAACATAATAAACTAAAGAAACAAATGTTCAAATGTTGGTCAGTCTGAGGGAGATCAGACGTCAGAGAGTGAGTGAGAGAAACCTGCAGATCTTTGTAGACCAGAGTGCACCAGGGCTCAGGTGCAACAGAATCAAGCCAAAGACTACCAGCGGCCTGGTGACAGGGTCGTCACACTTGAAGCTAAGTATTATTATGTCGTGTGTTTGCTCGTTTTGATTCATTAAGCCGAATTAACTTCCTTTTCTCTGACTATTAACATTATGTCTGCTTGACATTTGCTCTTTTAACTCTTTGTTTACAGGCAAAGACGTTATATGCATATCTACGGAAGCCCTAAGGGGACATATATCCATGCTTTTTATTTGACTCCATGTGATACAGCGTCATCATCTTTGGATAAGGATAGGATAATACTTTATTG